AGGCATTTCTGACTCAATCACTGAATCCCCCCGAGGAAATGTCGAACTTGTTTACTCTGCTGGCAAATGTAATTGTGTTGTTCGATGACAGCGGGATGCAGTAACCGTAGGAACTTCTTTCGTTACATGAGCAAACAAAACAAGCCAACATTTGACCGCAGCGTGAACTACTATTAAGGCTCAAGCAATCTCCTTATGGACACAAAAATGATTGTGAAATGTTTAAAAAAAGGTCAAGATCTTACAAGTACAGTGTGTTAAGCACAATTACTTCCAAACAAATTGAATTAATTTAAAACAGTTATGGTCTTTCATTTTCACCATTATTCTTGGTTACAGTTAAATTATGAATGTCCAGATTATCACGTTTTGGTATGAAATGTCCATTTTGGATTACTGAGAGTGACTCTTAAACACAGGGTTATACACATCACTTCTTTTGCACGGAACGCACCACTAAACCACAGGTATGTCACAGCTAGTCTTCACGTATCGCTGTCATCACTCTGCCTAGTAGTCATCTTGTTGGAAAAGTCCGTCAAATTTAGCCTGATTTTTAGAAATTTGATTTAATATAGAATGCCTCTATTTAATTGTTTGAAAGGTCATTCAAAAACTCCTGGTGAGTAGCCTTATCTTTTAGACTTGACAAGAAATCCTTATGCTCTGAAAAATATCTGTCCGACTGCCCATCAAAGGGTCTACCTCGTGGTTTTTTCTTGCTTTATTCTTCATCCATACCCTGATGACGTACTTGATGACGTCATTTTTTCACACCACATCTCTCCATGGCTCCCACCGCCTCTTTTCACAAGTCTAATAAAGTCGACACTGTCTTCCAATTCTGAAATGAAGTTATCTTAAGATCTTCGGCGCGCAGGTTCAATACCACAGCCTCCTCTTTTTGATTCAGTTCCACGGCTTTCTATTTCTGATTTTCAAATCTACGCTATTTAAAATCAGGTTAAGAATTATACACCTCAGAATTGTCAAAGTGAATGCTTCAGGATCATCGGGCAAGTGTAGGGTTTGACTGCAAAATAGCGTTCATGCCGAGTCTTGGAAGAATGTTCTTCGTGTGACAAGAAAGAAATCTAAGCATTACACTTTAATGTATAACCACTCATTTGCTCGTTTCATCATGGCCAAAACTCGACCTTCAGCCCAAAACATACTTAAGACAGACAATAAACCCCACAACGGCGAGCACTCCGATCACCGCCGCCAAACCACGGCTACATTTCACGCTGTTGCGAGCGCCCTCATTGTGGCTAGTTTCTCCACCGCCAGCTCCGACGTAAGCGCTATCAACACCACTGTATTCTCTTTGGTAGCCGTCGCTCCTGTTACTATCACTATGATCATGACGTCGAAGTAAGTCATCCTGTTCCATGTAGCCACCGAACCGACCGTCTTCACTATCGTCTTCCCAGTCACTTTCCTCACCGTGGTCACGATCTACAAGGCTCCACTGCAGGCTCGCAGCAAACAGCCAACCATCTTCTTGCCGCTGCGCGATTTCCCGAGCCCTGTCTCCTATCTCATCTCCTATCGACACCAGTGTCTGGCGGGAGTCTCGCTGCCTCGCTGCCTCCGACGCTGATTTTGCTGTTTTCTTTTTAATTGTCTCTATCATGCTTTTCAATTCGAAATTAGTAGGCAGGTTGGCCACATTCCCTGGAATATAAATTTCTTGTCTACACAGTGGACAACAAACGATGCCATCCAACGACTCAGCCACACACCTCTCAAGCCAATTTTCGCAAAAACTGTGCAGGCACTCCAAAATCTTTGGATTCGTGTACAACTCGCAACATATTCGACATTGAAGATGCTCCTCGCTAAACTCGCTCAGGCTCGAATGATCAACTGCCCCCTCTGCCATCACCCGTTACCTAGGAAAGGAACAGTTATAAAGATGATTCAACAAGTGAATGATTGAGAACTTGTACGAGATTTTAAAAAGTCATCAATTTTTTTACTTTATCGCAAAAGCTGCATTCAGAATTTTGCAGTTATAGCAAGCTACCAACATGATCACGAAAACTGCCCGTGCGGCACCATCATTTTTCAAAAAAAATTGTCAAATACTTATCTAACCAATTTCAAACATGCTTACCATGGATTAAATTAATCACATGTAAACAATAAATTCGTTTTCAAACTGTTTCACGGTTCACCAACCATTTAAAACACTTTTCCTAACAACATTATTGTTTTTAATTAAACCGCGAAATAGTAACGTCATGCAAATTTGCAGTTGAAAAATAATAGCCAAAATGTACAAAATCATGGTCTACAATATATCACGATGTTAAGTGTGTTTACTTTTATAAACCACAGAGTTTAGTTTTTGTCGTTTGAATTCCACAACTTTGTCCTAAGTTTTCATCATTCCTAGGCCATTTAAATTGTTAGGTTCACATCTGATATTTAAAATGTATTATTCTTTCTTTTGTTTGCTCAACTTAACCTTAGCTAGTGATGCGTAACGTATGGCACGTATGCATAAGCAGAATACATCAAGCAACGGGCTCTTGTCAACAACAGTAAAAATTTATCTTTTAAATATGAACGAAATCTACGCCCTGACCTAACATAGTTGCTGGTTGCTGACTGTTAAAGCACGTTTATACGCGAATTCATGCTAATTCATACGTCGTCGCTATAATAATATCGGACGTCACTTTGGATGTGAAGAAGTCGAAATCTGAATAACTCTCTTGCGATTTTCAGTCTGAGTGATGTGAACCTCACAATTTATTTTAAATGGCCTGATTTATGAACGCGAATCTCAACAGCATTACCGGTGTTCCCACGGTTTGCAGATTATGTCAATACAACAGTAAACCGTCGAACAGTTTTGAATACAAATTTAATGCTTACATTATATTTGAGTTAACAAGGGTAAAACATGGTTACAGTTGCTAAATATTATTTGACAATCAGGGCCAATGACAGCCAAGCTTTGGGAGAAATATTGCTTTGTACACAACTTTCTGATGTTTTAACCGTATGCCATGTTTTGGTGTGGAAAATTGCTTGAAAATTGTGACTCATTTTATTCTTCAAAAAAGGAAATTCAAACACACTGAAAATTCATCTCGTGGCAAACAACAATTTTCTACAAGATGATGCCATCATCATATCTTTTCCAGTAATTATTGTCCGAAATGGGCTTCCAGAGCTACGACTAGGTCTACTGTCTCCGCGTCTCCACGCATTTCCAATGGAGCAAAGACCTAGACAAGCTTTAGACAACAGATTTGGATGCAGCCTGAACTTCGACAGAGCCAGACTCAGCTGTACGTGTTTGACCTCAAATTAAGATGGCAGCGCGCACGAGAATCTTTGGTGATCAGCTCGTTGGATCATTCCAGATTTCGCTTAAATATAACAAAAAAGGCAATTTGATAAGGAGCCTGAAATTACAAATAAAAACATGGCCGGTCACTTAAAGTAATGTTCCTGATTGTGAATTGTATGCACAAATATTTAGGAAAATGATTAAAATTGCTACTTTTGCACGATTACAGAAATTTTCAGAGGGATCGTCCACTGGAATACCTACTTGAAAACCTATGGTAAGCTATACTGTGATAAGCGTTCCATGTTTCGATTGTGAAGGCAGACTTGAGACTCAAATAGGCCAATCGTACGTACCTTGTTTCGGCTGCAGTGGAAGAATGTTTAAAATTCCCAGATCATCAACTCCAAAACACAAATGCTCCCGCCAGTGCCGACGTTAGGTGCCAACATCCACGACCCGCTACAAACTCAGCTTACAAAGGGCAATTTGCATTGGTCCCGTCCACCATGAAATTCCTGACTTCGGTGTCAACTCAAAGACTGTGGGTATGGAACGTGGAACATAAGCTGCATTTTCTGCACTGCGTCTATTCACTGCCCCCAACCTGCGATTTGCATATGAACACAGCCCAATAATGTAATTTGATTTCACCCCGCCACGTACGTAAGCGCATACCATATACTATTGCGTGCAACTGGGGAATCCCCCTTCGTTGCCACTGATCGAAGGCTGGAAGTAATGAACCATGAACCTCGCATAAACTTGAACCTTTTCCATGCTACTGGCAGTCAACTCCATACTATGTGTGGCCTTTGTTGAAAGCACGGAGTTGGTATCACAAGGGACTCAGGTTTAGCATAATTCTCCCACAAACTTTTCCCTTTCATTTTACGAGGTTCAATGTGTTTCAATGTTCAATGTGGGTGTACATCTATATTGTACGAACATTGTGTACATAGCTTACCATTGAATTTGGTCATAGCTAGTTGTTGTGTCTGGGCTTGTAAAAGACAACGTGCAGGTTCCAAGAGAAAGGGATCTGGTTCTCAGCTTCCCAAGTGCAGACAGCAGCGAATCGAACGGGTACAGTGCCGGTACATGTATATTGAACGTCAATACAAGTTTTTACAAGTGCTCAGGTTGTCTCCAAGAACACTAACAATGTAGTTTATACTACTTACGATGGAAGGGGGGCATACTAAGAAACGGCGATCTCCTGCGCATAGGAAAAAAATGCGATTATAAAGTTTTTACAGAGCATCAAAAAATTACACTTATATTAGAAACTAACAGCAAACACGATTTAATGGGATTTTCTGAAGAACAAAACTGACAAAGCCAGAAAACCCGAGAGATAATGATCATCAAAATCGCACCCCTGTACATTTTCAATGGCCCGCTCACACTTCTTGCTGCCAAGGCCATTTATGATGCGCATGCGAGGATTATGAATTTACTGGTGAAAAGGTCTCAAGTTGCCGTCCCTTTCCCACACCACGTTCAATAGATTCACCAAGGTCGAAATGCCACAAATTGTACCATTTTTCCGTTCTGAATGCTCTGTAGGGATGGAGGGTAACCTGTTGTACAGCTTGTCCTGGAAACTTTCACTGCCCAAACCCATTTCATTCCAGATACTCCCGTCGCTGTAAAACACGCTTACAACAGACTAACTCTCGTGACTAGCGAATTCATGTACATGTTGTGAATTTTAATGGTAATTATAAATTTGAAATAAAAACATTAACTATGTTAGGACACGAGAGGGCAATATACCTCGTGCGAGACAACAAAATTCAAATAAAGTCTGCTTTGGTTTTGGTGTTGGTACTAAGTGAAATTACGGAGAGAAGAAGCTAGGAAAAAACTGCGCTATTTTTCAAAATCTGACAAAAAGGTTTGTGTCTGACAGTTGTGGTAAATTTAGCAACTTTAATCGGTGCAGAAAAATCCATTTTAAAAATGTAAAAGTAGTTTGGTAGAACTATGCAAAGTTAACCACTTAGGAGGACGTGTACACTCGTTTAAGGTCAAAAACATAATTCACCGGTTTCTGGTCAGGAGTTGGCTCCAAAAGTGGTGCGGCGACGCCGCTTTTTTTTACCCTCACTTTTTTGGGGGAAACCTTTTAACAACTTAAGTAAAAACCACTTAAAAACCAAGACTCTTCCACTCTGGATGTTGATTACCTCTTCTCTTTCATTTCTGATCAACTTAGCGTCAGTTTGTTAGTTTTATCTTCGGGAATTTTGGGGGGAATGTAAACGTCTGACCGCATTCGTTTTGGTTGCAAAATTTTTATTTTGTTGGGGTTTGTGGTTAGTTTCTAGAATGTCCAATGGTTGACTGGTGTGGTACTTTGCGCTGGTATTCAACAATGATTGTCGACAGTGAATAAAAACGGCCTATTTTCTTGGCCTTCTAGACTCGTCATTTCCTCCTGTCAGTCTTAAAAATATTCAGGCACAATTAGATTTTATTAATACTACACATGCACATTAATGATTTTTGTCATTGCTTTATAATTGTAACAAATATATAAAGGCATATATAAACCGTGCGTTTACAGCAAAACTAAGCATACTTCAATGCAAAAATACATTCAACTTTCAGTTATATTGAGGCAGGAGTGACCCCATACGTTGGTAAAACTTCTCCAATTTGATACAGATTTTTTTTTACATCTGTTTACTTGAGTTGACATGCAAATTATGTCCCATCAATCATTTGGTTCAGTGACACAAAGTGATCATCTTCCATCTCAAAGGCCTAGTTTCCGACAGCCAACATGCGGAAGAGAGGGAAAATGACCTTCATTTTGCATTCAGCTTTTAGGTTTCTTTTTAATGTTCTTGTACATATCCTGGGAGTAATTCTCCTCATGCGTTTCATCATCTTCCCCATCATCAATGTCAACATAATCACCACCACCACCGTAATCCCCATTTTCACCATCCTCGCCACCTTCGTCACCATCTGCATCCTCAAAATCCCCATCATCCAAATCAGCATTGTCATCCTCTTCTTCACCACCACCCAAACTGTCACCGTGGTTACCCACATCAGTATCACTGTCATCCTCGCCATACTGATCGTCCTCACAACCAGCCTGCTCATCCTCACTACCATGGTCATCACCATCGTCATCTTCACCTTCGTCACCATCTGCATCCTCAAAATCCCCATCATCCAAATCAGCATTGTCATCCTCTTCTTCACCATCACCCAAACTGTCACCGTGGTTACCCACATCAGTATCACTGTCATCCTCGCCATACTGATCGTCCTCACAACCAGCCTGCTCATCCTCACTACCATGGTCATCACCATCGTCATCTTCACCACCAAGGGTAGTGCCACCCACAAGTACTCCCAGGTTGAATTTCCAAGGATTTTTAACTGAGGGACGAAACTCCAATGCCAGGGGCGAAATGGACTCAATGATTTGGGTACAACAGTAGTTTTCATCAGCAAAGATGCCAGCCTTCAATTCCTGGTACTTTTTCAGAAAGTCATAGTCATTGCCTATCTTGGCTAGCAATTTAGAGTCATTGCTGATTTGATGCAAATCTTCCATAATTGAGGACAGGTGCTTGGAGCGTCTAGCGAACAGTTTCGTCCGGTCCTTCTGGATGTGATCCAGCTCATCCATGATGCACTGCTTGGCGACAGTAATTCGTGCAATTTCTTCCTTAACTCTGTCAGTTATGTCTTTCCTTATCTTCACCAATGTTGTGTTGAAGTCTTGCTTCCTTTTTTCGATTGTCTCCTGTGCTGTGGCAACAGCTTCTGAGGATTTGTCGAACTGTATCGTGCGTTCTATCACCGACTGCTTCAGTTCCTCCACCGTTTCCCCAACTTCCCCTGCATTGTGACTGCAGTGAGATTCTCGCAGACACGAGAAGCAAATCAGTTCATGGCAGGTACAACAGAAGATGTAGCATTTTTTGCCGGCATGCTTGACACACGTTGGCTCAGCTTGCACATCTTCTTTGCCGACTGCCTCTATCATGCCTGCCAGTTTGAAATCCGAACGAAGGCTGTTTACGGTACCACTTGGAGTACGAGTTTCCTCCCGGCAAATCGGACAGATTACGTTACGTACAATAACGCGTGAACTATGGCACCTGAAGAGGCAATCTTCACAGAAACTGTGAAGGCAGTTTAAGGTTTTGGGATTCTTGAACAAATCTTGGCATATTGAACACTGGAGATGTTCTTCACTAAACTTCCTCAGATTCGAGCGATAAATTCCTCCCTCTGCCATCACTGTGCCCAAGAAACTGTCTCTCCTGAAAAAGTAAAAAATACATTTAGCTGGTGAAAATAACCTTCTGCTATGAACGAACTTCAAAGCAGCAACACAGATCAGAAACCTTCCTTTGCAAAACACAACACTGTATATAAAATCCATGGACTCTAAATGACTGACACATGACATACCACAAACCCCCTGGGCTATGTTTAAAAACAGATCGAGCTTTTTAAATCTTCCTCAGCGTAGAGTATGCACCAGAGAATATACAATAATAAAGAGTTTGAGTCGTGGTTAGTTTTTAAAAAAATTAACAGGTAGCACCAGCAAGTTAGAAAATCGGCCCCAATTTCCCTACACTGGAGTAATAATTTCAGCTGCATACCCTCAATTTCACTCACGAGGAGCTTAAGATCCAATTTTATGAACTATGATGCGTACTTGATGAGCTTATAAGGCTTTATTTTGGCAATGTTCATACCGACCCTCATGATGTGTGTCGGAAAATAAGTCCACAACTTACACATAGGCTTACCGGATGTAACTCACAGCGAAAGTTAAAGCTTCACGCGGATCACGACTGCCAACGTTGGCAGTACCATCGAAGAGCTCACTGCATCACTGACTTTGTCATGTTGTGGACGCTTCAGTACAGAGCCGTTGTTTTGGTTCAATTCTCACGCACCATAACAATCCAGGAATGTCAGAACGGGCCTTTGAAAACAGGCATAACTTCTGGAACGGAGTTTGTACGTTCTTGTCGTACGGCACAATCGCTTTTCTACACATTACTCATGCTGGCGCGGTCACTAGTCTTTGATTGCGTGATCGGGGAATCTCAAGACCTTGTACCCACAGCTTAACTGGTACACCAATTGGGTACAGCAGCTCGGCACTGTGAGTACGAGACTGATGGGGAATCCCGTAATACGCTATCAGCATACCTCACCATGAAAGGTCAACGGTGACGTTTCCACAACCTCAGCTATTATTGAACTTGTATGAAAATGAATTCTGCGATAAAGTTTGGCATATTTTTTCGTACCTTGGTTATAGATCCCGAGCATGAAGAAGCCTTAGCATATACACACGGGATATAATTCTGTGGAAATTGCAAAAATTTGTGATTATATTCATGCAACCTTTATTTCGTCAAAACATGCGGCAAAATTATTTCTGAATGTCTGGGAAAAGTTGCTTTTTTTGTTTTTCAGAATTAAAAATCTTGTCTCATCACAGGCCTACATGCAATCCTGAGAAGTCAATATATAACCACTCATGGAAACGGCAGAAAATAATCAGCACACTTTTTATTGCAATAAAACAGGTTATATCTTGAAACATAGAAATTTAAATCTAGGTAATTACCAATACCTTCTTTACATATCAAAACTACATACATGTCCATGTTGATATAATTGATACTGCATGGTATTTTTTAGCTATTGCAAATTTTACTTTACATCCCTAAAAGGTCATTCAGTACCTTGACCTTTAACGTGCACAGATCAGTCCGTGGAAAAAAATTTGAGAAGTCAAGAACTTGAAGAAAACAAGAAGTTAAATACGATCTTTGTACATTGTTGACAAAACTTCACATCAAGTTAACGTTTATGGTTCGATATGGTTCAGCAAGATGAACACTGGAACAGAATTTCACAAGAATCTGATACAATTCACGTTTCTTTAAAAAAAAGACGTCATTTTAATTTTTCTGGCACAAACCAAACTACCTTTCATGTGGGGTACATTCAGTACACTTTTCTGATGTTGAGAATGTCATTAGGCCTATTGGCTGGTGACAGTAAAAAGAATTAAACACTTTGGCTAAATTTTCATCTATTCAGAAAAAAATAACCACAGAAAACATGATACTAAGCCATCTGCACAACAAGTGTAAGATTCTGGAAAAAAACTGTCCGAATTTGGGGCAGGCAGGTCCAGTTACCCTCCTGGCCAGCTTCGTAGAGCTGCGAAAGCACAAAATTTGTTTAACTGTGAAAGAACATTGCTTGACAAACAGGTTACCAGCCAAAACTATATTGTTTTGGAATGGTATTTACCTGTCTTTTGGTTAGCATGACAATCACATAGAGTTTGAGCTGGTAACCTTTGTTTTTTTAAGCAAGGTTTTTACAAGCTTAAAACAAATTTTAAGCTTGAGCTGCTCTTTGAAATTGGCCCAGAAATGCAGCTGGTAAGAGCTGAATGGGAGGTGTCAATAATCCTTGGCTAAGAACAAGGCAAGGATAAAAATGATGATCTTATACCTCAGTGGCTCAGTTTTTGCTTTTTGTATGTACCCAGGGAATAATTCCCTTTCTGTGCCTCGCCATCATCGTCTTCAACACTGATGTCACTCCCACTGTAATCTTCAGAATCACCGCTACCGTCATCCTCGTCATCGGTGTACTCACAATTTAAATCTTCATCGACAATTGCACCTTCACCACCACCACCACCTTCACCGCTGCCACTGCCTTCACCTTCGCCATCATTACTTCCACTGTCACCTGCACCCTCACCCCTATCAGCACCTTTACCATCACTTCCACACCTACCTACACTTTTTCCACCTACATCAACGTCACAGTCCGAGTCACTATCTGCATCACTCTGAGTATCATTATCACTATCATTTTCGCTGCCACGTGACCTATCATCACAACACTGCTCGTCCTCACCACGAGTGTGCACGCTCTCTCCATCACCACTCTTATCACCTTCACCACCACGGTGAGTGTGACAAATAAGTCTACCCAGATTGAATTTCTGAGGACTTCTGGCTGACGGGGCATACTCAATGGAAAAGGGCGCAATAGATTTGACAGATTCAGTGTAACACTGATCTGTCAGCTTAGAGAAGTAAGCCTTCAATTTGGGGTACTTTTCCATGAACTCGTAGTCATTGGGCATCTTCACCAGCGATTTGAACCCACCGGCAGCCCGCTGCAAATGTTTTGTGACCGAGAAGATGACTTTGGAGTTACCGTCCAATTGCTTCTCCCTGTCACTCTGGATCTCATTGAGCTCATCCAAGATGCACTGCTTAGCGGCAGTTATTCGTGCCACTTCCTCCCCAGCTCTGACACTGACGTCTTGGCGTATTATTTCCAGTGCCATGCGAAAGTCTAGCTTCGTCTGTGTGACCGTCTCCAATGCCTTGGTCATGTCTTCCAAGGACTTGTTGCACTTGATCATGTGCTCTCTCGCACACTGTTTGAATTCTTCCACCGTCTCACCCACATCCCCGACGTCGTGGCTGTAGTGAGACTCTTTCATGCACGTGAAACAGATCAGCTGGTGGCAGGTTTTACAAAAAACGCAGCATTTTTTGCCGCCGTGCTTGGTGCACGTGGGCACTGTCTGCGCGTCGTCCTTGACAGCCGCCTCCACCATGCTCGCGAGCTTGAAATCAGTGGGCAGGTTCTTCACCTGACACGGAACCTGCCCCGGAATGGAAACTGCCCTCCGACAGATGGGACAATTTGCGGACGGCCAGGGACGGGAGCCCCAACATCTCATGAGGCACTCTTCGCAGAAGCTGTGCAGACAGGTCAGCGTCTTGGGATTCCTGTACAGGCTGTGGCATATTGCACACTGCAGATGCTCCTCAGCAAACTTCCTCAGGCTCGAGTGGCAAGTTCTCATTTCTGCCATTGCGCACGTCCAAAAACACTGTCTGACCTGCAACAAAAAGGTTGCTATTATAGATATCAAATATTGATGGCATACCCTAACATGACGTGGCCCCTAATTTTTGCCTCTAGTGCCTTGCTTATAAACGCAACGCCTAGTAATATTTTTAGCCCAGATTCCACGGTAATTAATATTTCATGAAGCTCTCAATATCTCAAGTTTACATGTTCCAATATAATAATTCTATTCTGGTCCCCCCCGACTTTCCTTTTTTTTTTAAAGTGCACAATGACGCCTTTGTGCACACCGAAATAAGAATTTTTTTTCCAACGTTATTCTTGTTGTGAGCTCAGTGAGTGGAATTAATGACGAGTTATCATAATTTATCAATTTTCAAGAAACTCTTATAGGCCAGGGTGGACATCTGGGACATACGCAAAATGTCTGGTAGCAACCACACCGCGCTGGTGAAAACAACTGCGACAATGGCGACACACGCCAACCAGCCAGTCTGGGGATTGGGCAACTCCATCTTTTCTTTGATCTGTTCATAAGTGTACACACGTTGCAGTTGTTTGCGAATGGCCCGGATGTCCACCCTGGCATATATATGAGATTATGAGATTTAGTGCAGGTCCAGGTCTTAGTGACTGAGGGAACATTCAGCTAAATATGTTCCCCATTTCCAGATAACATCGTTTTGGAATGTTGGACTATGAAACATGATGCTGAACACGTTGTTCACAAAGCGAAAGGTTCGACAGCATGTACAGCCCCACTAGTGTGGCACAGACCTTCGCTACCGCTCCATCCTTGGTAGCGAGGGTCCGTGCCACACTAGTGAGGCTAGTACATGTAATATGTATGACTATGAATGAACTCACAGCAGCAGTATTTAAATGAATGAATTTTCAATAAAGATTAAAGAGGTTCCGTGCACTGCATGATGAAAATTGAGCCAGGCTTGAGGGGAACGTGCGAGACTCAGAGCAGTGTGACCGTTAAGTTAAGCACACGTAGTGGTAGTCCTACTGCACTGACATGACTAAAGTTGAACATGTTGAATTTAAAGATTCACACTCACAGTTTGGCTGCAACAAATCACTAGTCACTACCACTGTTGTGGCCCAACCATCCAGGTCAATGGTTCACTCAAAGACACTATCCGGAACTGGCTCGCAAAATGGCTCTCTGGATGTTGGCGTAAGTTATATCGTTGTAGAAAACGGCTAAACTAGTACGAAAATATGTTACAAGAAGTTCATACCCACTTACATGTATCAAGCACCGTACATTGGGAAATCATGCAATATCGTTCTTACGATCTTTGCACAATTGAAAGGGTCATGTTCGTCTCTCTGGGTACGCAATAAGGGAATCCCCTTACTCATACACGCGCGTACACTTGCTTTACGAGTAAGGTCAAAGGTAAAGATGCTGCTGTGTGAGCGTCATTGTGCATCAAGTTTAATAAGTACAGAAATTCACAAACAAGTTTAACTTCTCTCGTACCGTACCTCAAGTCAGGGAGCTGCACTTGTCCTAGACTTGACTCATGTTGGGATCTCGGTGATGTCTTCGTTTATGCTTTGGATATTGATGCCACGCGCGCGCGCCGATACTTGCCTCGCGCCCTCTTGTGTCCACTTATTACTTGGAGTTCAGTTCGGAAATCCGTACTTGACGAATCTGCCAACCGGCTCATATCTACCAAGAGTGGTAGCAGCCAATCACCTTGCTGTGACCGTGTTTTTACGTCGTTCATACCTGCATTATAATGACCGAGTCTGCAAGTCTGACTACTTTGATTGGTGGGAATTCCCTATACAAATTAAATAAGGGAGGGTAATCGAACGCACCCAATGCACGTAAACCTACGTGCAATGCACGTGCGCAGTTTAAACTGAAGTGACGTCACACTTACGAACCATTGCAACATATACTGAGAATGGGTTGCTCTGTAGAGGTTAAACCCTGGTGGCGCCCCGCATCCTTAATTCTAGCGCGAAAACTTAACATGACGCTCTTGCACACCCTGCAAGTCAGTCGAATGCTGCTGAATCTGTTGTCTAAAGCTCGGCCCAGGTTCGATCTCCCCAAACACGCGCGAGGACACGCCGACGGGAGACGTAGCCGTAGCCCTGGAAGCCCGTTTCCGATATTACCTAAGTCAATCATTTTTAAAGGACAAATATGACGTCAATTCACCCTTAAGTGCCTCCTTCTTCTGCAGGACTGGCAACTTCTAAATCATTTCATTTCACGAGGTGAACAACTTCAGCGGTGCTAATTAACAGTGAGGCCAGGCTAAGTGCAGTTCAAAGACGTCAGGGTGGTTTCTAAGAATAAAATAGACATTAACCCTGTAGGTAAAATTAACTGCACTCAAGACCCCCTATATAAAACAATATCAATTTTAGCTTTCAGAGTCTCTGAAATAATTACAAGGTTCCAAAAACAAAATATCCAAAAAATATTCATAATAACTTTTAGCATAGAGCAAGGAACAACCCTATGCTTTTAGAGACATTTCTCGAAAAATGACAATAATATATGTATATTTCCAAATGTGGTGACCGACCAAAAGAGAGTTTGAACCGGCATGCAATTCTGTTTAATTGAATTAAAGGTATCTGGTGCACTTCTGTATTTCACCCTGATAACGCCCTACTGTTTATTTCCCCCCTTTTCTTTGAAATATAATCAGATTAAGGTTTTTAAATTAAGCAACGTGTCCTGTTTGCAAGGACATTTAATTGCCGAGTGAAAGCCCGGACAGTTCCAAAAGTGAATTTAATTTTCCACAGTAATGAGGGTTTTCAAAGACGAGAGTGGCCCGCCGACGTCGACGCTAGACTCAAGTGGACGATTTTGAAAAATGTAACATTCTTCCTCTTTCAGTTCACCGGATAAATTCTCCGAGTGCGGTTTCGAGACAGCCACCATCCACGATGGTCGTTACCCATTCGCGTGTCAGTTTCACGCGTGTTGTTGAATTCATCGATGGCAGAAATTGAATCAGGGCTGGGTGACCGGGAACTCTCGGTTAAATGGGGGGTGCACATGACGTCGGAATAACACTGTTCACGAGGGGGAAACTCTGGGGAGGGAAAAGCTACATTAAAGCATGAATAAAGCCGGGACAAGTTCGGTTGCGGATGTACATGTATTCCTGTATCGCTCGGACATTGTTTGTGACAAAAGGTGAAATTGTGCGCAAACCAATGGAAAGATAAAAACCCTGGACCCCACACACATACATCAACACATCAGAAACGCAAGGAATAAAAGCAATTAAGACACAGTAACTGCCCATGACAGTTCAGCTAACCTGCTACATGGGTTAAAAAATTGCTGATTTTGATATAAAGAAGATTTTTTTAATAATTAATTAAAGAGTAGCTGCAATCAATGCAATAAACCTGTAAAATGCACCTTTGTACCTCAGTAAACCTTATTTTCAACTTTGATTTTACTATTTCAAAGGGTATTGTAATGCCTTTTTCGTTTTTATGCTAATTATATTTCCATATTCATGAGCAAAAGCCTTAATGTTACATTGGTTTGTATACAGAAAAGTCCTGCATTTTTGTAGAATTTTCCTGGACTAAGTTTTCTCTTTTTTGTTAATTGTACAATTGTTGATTGCGCATAGCAGCTATAAATCATCAATTCCTCTCCCATAAACGTTTTCAGTTAGTAAACTCTGGCTTGACAATTTGAGCAGGAATACCAATACATGTCTTCCCTTGATGATTTCACAGCAATAGCGCCCTCACTTGTCTGGGAAAACATGGATAGGCCTTTTCAATGCACTTAACCAAATAGGAGTGTGTAACAGTTTTCATAATTGGGAAGAAAAGTACAAAAATGCAGAAAAATTGTGTCGAACAAAGATTCATTGCAGCTACACTTTAAGTTCACGAAGCAGAATGCAATTTCAAAAGCCCCAGCTCTCCCCCAAAAGTTCCATGTAGAATTGCAGTCTAATGATAGAACATTACTTATAAGTCACTGTGTCGAAATTGGACAGGTTTCAGTTGATAAACATTGTGCACTCAATCCAAAAAAAACGAAATGCTTGTCTTGCTGAATTGACAAAATAAAACCCGATTTGCCCGCGTGTCACTTGTCAGACAACTTTCCAGTACTTTCCAAAAGTTTGTTAAGAATTAAATGCTTGCTGCCGATGGGATTCCAACCGATGACCTCGTGCTATTAGTGCAAACGTCTTTCCACTCGAGGTTGAACCGTTGGTTCGAATCGATGCAGCAAGCGGGCACCGCAGGTGACAGCTCAACATTTTTGATGGAATATTGTCAGTATATCTTGCCAGTGTGATAAAACCAGAGCTAGCCTACACATCGACTGTTTTCAGTGTGTGAGATCTCGTTTTCGGGTAGGCTAGGACTATTCTTTCAAAATCTGGTCAGAAGGACCTTTCTGTATCCTGTTGACAGGAGCTGGGCTTGCTACTTGTCGCCAGAACTCTCACATCGATTATGTTCAGTGTTCACCAGGCCCCAATTAACAATGCATGAGAGGGGGTGGAGTCAAGTTTTGCCTCTCCCCCTCTTTCTCTCTGTGTCTAACCATGGTGTCATGTGACAAAAAGATTTAAGTACCGTGTACTGCGCAAATCTAGCCTCGATTCACATTTTTGAGTTACTGTATTAATACGAACGCAGGGTGTGAGTCTCACATTTCAAGCTAATGGCTAGGCAAAGCGGCATCTTGATACCAACCGTCTTGGAAACCTTGGTAACCGCTCGCGAAACAAGAAGGGCTTTCGCATTATTCTAACCTAAACGACGCCAGTCTGAGCCGACTGAACATTGTCCTGAGTTATCAGGTTCGGTTCAATGTTGCTCCTGAGAACACGACAAAGGCAGAATAAACATTGATTAATGAAAGCACAACACGGCTTTGAATTATGCTTGACTACGACTGGCGACTGCACAGTGTCTCGGGTTATGAGGTTCAGTTCAGTATATGAGAACAAGACAGCGCTAAAAGAAATTCATTCAAATTAATAAAAGCAAGACTTTCGTGCAGTAACAACACCAAATCCTTCCAATTTCGTCCGCCGCCGAGAGGCCAACAGTTACCAGCAGCGTATTTAACCAGACAGCCCCACAGGGACTTTCTATCGAGGCGGGAACTTGTTCTTCATATTGATTTCAACCTCTGAAATGACTCCTACGCGATTTCCTTGGGGAGCAACCCAACGAGCATCGAAAGAAACCGCAAATACTCCTCCTGACCATCAATTTTACTAAAATCACCGATGCAGAAAGCCGTCTGAGTGCCCTTAGGTTCCAGTCGATGTGCGGTTGTAGAACTCAATAGGGCCTACATCACAATATTCAATCTCGGTTTGGAGAAGTCAGTGTTGAAACTGCAAAGCCGTGTAATTACACAGAGGTCACTGTCTTCCAAGAAAAGAAAGATACACAGAACGGTACAGAACGGTGAACGGTGGGACAGAACCTGGTGTACACGCGCAGGGCAGCAGCAAGATGACAACCGAAAGCTACGGGGATATGCTGCGGGACCGCGGCTGGTCTGCCGAAGGATCCTTCGAAGACCAGGTGTGGCTGAGGGCTGTCTACGGTGTCATAGCCGTGCTGGGCATCACCGGTAACGCCCTCGTCATGTTCACGGTGGCCCGCGTCCCCTCGCTGCGCTCGCTGACCAACATGTTCATCGTGAGCTTGGCAATGTGCGATTTCATCACCTCGGTATTTCTCATTCCGCTCCATCTTGGTGAGTTTTTGGTTTTGTTTTGCTCGTGTCTTTTTAAGCATTTGAATGCCCACCAAGCAAACCTAGTATTTGCCATTTCCAATAGGGTCTAAAATGCCCCTCTGAACTCCGCACGTCCTTTCACAAGTCCACAAGTAACAGGATGAACAGTGACTAAGGAATGATTTTGTCACAGTTCATTGGGTCTGCGTGACTTATGAGGGAGTGTTCATTGACTTACCGGGCCTAGGGACGAAGTGATGGAGATAGACTCCATTAAGACCTGAATAAATGGTGGAACTTAAATTACCTTCCTTGACAGAAAGAAAAACTTCATGGAACAAAGGCAATAAATTCTACTATACGGATATTTATATTTTGCAGTCTCTTCCAGTCTACTGTGGCAAGCAACCTGCTTTAATTTTTAAACCGTTGATCTTATAAGCGATCTTACTAAAAAATTGTCAAATAACGTAGCCTATTCGAAACTGTTGGTTGTTCATTGTGAAACGAGAGCATGGAATTTACAAGAATTCCTAAATCTTGAAGTCTAATGGAAAAAAGACAAAAGCTTCAATGGGAAATTACTTTTTGTACCAGACTTTGGCTTTCCATCAGAAACTCCCCTGGAAAGGCATTATTTTGCAGATTAACAAAATTTAAAAGACAAGCAAAACCCCAATTGGATAGATTTACTTCAATTTTAATTCAAGACGTACTGCTGGTTAAGCATATCCCATCTCTTACTTCTCGTCTCAAAGTTGCAGTTGGAGCTCGCAGCATGGTGGAACAGAATGCCATAGGGATAACGCCGACTCACATCACTGGATAATGTTCAATAATTGACTTATGTATGTATTTAGAAGCCCGGGAGAAACTTACTAGATTGGTTCTAGTTTCAAGAACATCGGGGTATGATATTCAGATGTTGCAGGAAACTAATTGCCATATACATTGTACATGGCTGGCGGGTCCCCAAATAACCAAAAATTACCGCGTTAATATCGAGTTATAATGTCATGTGCAGTAGCCAACTCGGCATGCCAAAGGCTATGGGCCTAACTAAATTTGCCGCAGATACGCAACTTGTCAAAAGAGACTTGGGACCGGGAGCGGCCAGCACCTCACAAAACCCGACGATCGCAGTGTCCTCTCACGACCGTGTCGAAGTCATAATCTCGTCTGGGGACCTGTCACAAAGGAATAACTGCACAGACTGATGGAACTGGCTGTACTCACAAAATTCCAACCTCGAACCAAATTGCATTTATTGTCTCGAAGACAACCTCCGACAAGACTGAGGCTGCATCCAAATCTCTTGTCTAGAGCAAGGTCTAGGTCTTCACTCCATTAGAAATGTGTGGAGACGCGTAGACAATAGATCTAGCCGCAGCTCTGGAAGCCCGTTTCGGACACGGCTTGAGCAGCGTCGAACGGCGGCGCAGCCCGCTTCCAAGCACAGACTGAGGATATGGCATACATGACATCAAAATGCACGAATTTCAATGGAAGACTTTGGGACAGTGGTGGCAGCAGACAGAACAGTTTTCACAGTATTTGCGCGCGCTCAGAAAAATACACGCATGCTCAGAACAACGCACGCATGGTCAGAACTGGTAAAAAGGACCGGTATGTTTGCCGCCGCGCCACCAAATGTCTCAAAGTTTGAGACCCATAAGTAGGCGAAGTGGGTGCTTGACAGCGCCCCCCACGACTATTTAAAAATAAAAGAAAAAAAGAAAAAAATGAAAGATAGAGATGAGAAGGGATGAACATCACTAATTTACTTAAAAACCTCCAAATGGATGGAATGGATTGAAAGTATGATAGCTACATGACGTTAATATCAGAGAATTTCAAAACATGCACGACTCCTACGAACCCAATTTCTTGGGGGCAGTCCGGGGGACACCAATGGCTACATGGTTTCCATGGTCGGTGATACCCTTGTTTCGGGTGGTGGATTTAAAGTGTGGCCGTATGAACAGTTGAATAATCTTTTAAATCACCGTTTACCAGCAATAAGAGTTTTCGATATCTCGAGAGATGCGTTATTTACTCTGAAAATAAAAAGACTGCACTGTCATGATTAAGTTTAGGCAAAGTTTCCCGTCGCAAAAATTGTTGAGACCTCAATATTGAATCGGAACTCCGCCATGCATGAAAGTAACGCATAAACAATCAGGTTTTCAACATGTGCTGCTGTAAAAGATATAAAAGGGCGTGGTCCGAACGTGAACTGCTTGCCAAAGTTTATGCCGATGCTTTGACCAAGCATCATGTCGTACTTTCAATAAGCCCTTTGCGGGTTAAATTTGAATAAAATCTGGTACATTGAGTTATGTGATTGCACGTGAACATAACAATTTGGATTCCCCTATGCTTTTGCATAGCGACCACCGTCTCTAGAATGGACTGGTTCCTTTGTGCCCTTGCTATTCATTGAAAACAGTCTATTGGTTCAAGGCGTCTCTTGTGTAACTAAGCAAAAGCTTGCCCCGAATCAAGAGGTATAGCAACAGTGTCTCGTGTGGAGAGAATTCAAATCGTCATGTTAGCATGAATTTAAAGAAGTGTACCAGATTTTATTCAAATGTAACTCGTAAAAGGCTTATTCACGGGGAGGTAATAATGCACGGAGCTAGAATAAACTTTCTATCTCTCTATATTTTATTAGGTTTTTCCATTCCGGTGCCAGATGGAGTGGCGGGTGATATAATATGCCGTCTTCTGCTGTCCAAGTTCCCCCTGTGGACCAGCTTCGTCGCCTCCGTTCTCACCCTGACATGTGTCACCCTCGAGAGGTATTGCAGTATCGTGCACCCCTTCCGGTACGAGGCACTTTTCACCCACCGGAAAGCGATCGCTATGATCATTTGCATATGGGCCATGGCTGTGCTCATGAATAGTTATTTCTTCTACATATTTTACAGCGATGGCGGCCGATGCATTATCCAGTGGCAAAGCACAGTTTGGCAGAAGTTTGTGGGCGTGGCTAACTTCTGTGTCATTTACATCTTCCCACTGAGCTTGATGGGCTTCTCCTATTGGCGGATCATGCATAATTTGCACAAGAGCGCCCAAACTATGCGCCAATCAACATCCGAAGGTAGAGAGAACCAGCTCTCAAGGGATCTCCTCCGCGCGCGGAAGAAAGTGGTCAAGATGCTGTTGACGGTTGTGGCGACCTTTGCGGTGTGTTGGGCGCCAAACCAGTTCCTGTTTTTCTCCTACATGTGCGGCTGGAACCTTGACTTCTCCTCCTGGTACTACCACGCCAGCGTGTTGATCGCCTTCTGTAATTCGTGCATGAACCCGTTCATCTACGGCTTTCAGAGCAAGCAGCATCGCAAAGCGCTCCGTCGGGCGTTTGGCTGCAGTAACGCCGTAGGTGCCCGTGCGTTGGAGGGAGCCAGCAACTTGAGTTTCGTTCACACCGCAGACGTGAAAGAGTTTCACGTCAACGCTATGAGGAATCTACCCACACCAAGAAACACAGAGAAGGCCACCCAAAACCGGAGCGAATAATTAATCGTTGCGGGTCGGTGATCACGACCAATGCGATGAACAGGTCATCACCAGAACCAATAACCTAACAGCCGGTTTAAAGACGGAAACATTTACTAACACAAGACGAAGGGACAAAAATTACGATTATCCTGGCTTACTGGAAAAGCAACTTTACATGTTCAAGTGTCTGTAAAGTAAAAACCAACTGCTATAGGTTCAAAGTTATTGTGGTTTCCGTCATTTAATTCTATAGCCAAGTAGAATTGACTTTTAAAAAAAAACACACAAATGTAATTAGAATGTTAATAGATTTACCATTTTGGTTGAGTACCCCGTAGTGACGCTATTTCGGCGTACACACCCCTCTCCTTGCGTGGACCAATCCGCCTCGAGCAGAAACACCCTCTCGTCGGTTGAAAAGAGAGTTTTCATTGGTCGAGAGTTTTCATTTCCTTGGTAGCTTTTCGACCGAGACGCGTGCATTTCACGGTCGTTCGTAAACCGAAGCAGTGCAGTTCAGTACCATAGGACCCGCCGTTGCTAAGAAAATAGCGCCCTCTCTTGGTTCAGCTCGAGGCCCATAATTTCAGCAAATACTGGTCACTTACAGCTTCTCACAAATGCATTCGCAGAAAATATAATCGGGGGAGTGCCATGGTGAAAGCACAGTTCCCGAAATCAGTTCCCGAAATCGATTCTGTAATTCAGTCAGGACAATCTGAAGCTTTTACCAAATGCAAAAACAACAAAATCCAATTCCATCACCAATTTTCTCCTGGGAACTATTCGAATCGATTGCAAGTTTCAAAATGGTTCGGGCTGCATAGGTATAGAAGAGGCGCTCCAGCAAGTTACGTTTCAAAGACATCAGATAACCCCAGAATATTTTCAGTTCGTTTTATAAGCAAATGGCAATCCGCAAACGTTCTAGACTGCCATTTTCACCCCATTTGTATCGATCGATATTACACTGGTCAACGGAGAAGCTGCGGCCAAGCTTCGTTCCGTCAATCTAACATCGACCTTTGTTGTGATCAGGAAAACCGTCCCTCGGTCGTGTTAAGTGAAAGCGTGCGATAAAGAATGGGAAATTAATAATCTTATGCAACAAAAGACACAAGTATTTTGAAATCGCGTATACTGCATGTCCACTGGCAAGAGTTGGTATAGAACGCTTCTGTTGTCAGGGAAATTTTGATACCTCAGTGAGTTTTCCTCCTTTTCCACTCTCTCTTAACCTCTAAGGATGAGGTTTCAGCCATGCAGCGCACACTAAAATCTGTCTCACAATTTCAGGTTTGAAACTGCACGTATACGGGTCTAGCAACCTGTATCTATACGCAGGCTGAACCATAATGCCATGTGACATAATGGGCGACGAGACACATCTTAAACGTAGGCCTTCACGCAGTTTCCAAATCCTCTACTTACAAGTTACAGAAGTACATGTACATGCATTATGTTCGGACTGACACATTGCATGTACATGTAATCAAACAAGGGCGTATTATATAATAAAATAGCTTTGTTGCACATGCTACGTAAAAAAAAAAATTACGTTGTAGCAACTAGGCTTACATGTACATGTATTATGTTTGACGAGGCTACACAAGACGATAATCATGTTACCTGAATGTGCGCGTGGGCTCAACTTTGACTTCTCTCTGAAAGGTCTAGATTTTCCTATTAAGCGCACCTTTAAGACATTTGAAAATTTACTAGCGCCTAAATGTGTGTCCATCACTACAAAATCTGCACCGTAGCCATTTTAAATAGAAGTTTCATTTGCACTTTTCCCTGAAGTGCTCAGGAAGCCTTTAATACCCAAGCACTCATTGGAAGTACAAAGTATTTAAGATTTCACCGACACTCACTCGTACGTGTAATTTGACGCTAACTCTCCGCCGAGCATTCGCGTTGTTGTAACGTGAGCTGCGCACTTAACGCTAATGGGCATTTCAGAAAGACATTCCCCCACTTGTTTGCTTAGCACGCGCACCGTATCAAATTGAAAATGAACCGAAACATAGGACACATTTTAAGAAATGAACGTTCTGCATCTTGAAAGAATACCAAAAAATGTCAGTTTTAACCATTTATTTTCGTGTACATTGCTCTTATATCCCCCCCAAAATGTTTACATTACATCAGCTGATAATACGTGCGCTCCAGCTTTATTCACAGGTTTGTTGAAGCAGAAATTAAAGGTGCAGAATATTAACTTTTAAAAAATATTCCCATTATTTCCTGATACCAGGAAAGTCCAAATATTAAATAATATCACTTCGGTGTTCGTGAGGGTTTATTTGTTGGGTGAAAAATGAATGTTGAACATTATTCAAACATCGGCTATGGTGCAACTGCATCTGCAGGTGATGACATCACTGCTGACTCATTAATATGCAAATTAGTATTACAAGGAATTAAAAAAGACACCAAAGCAAGCCATTCTAGACTGTCTCTCTGTGAATATCGAAAGGGTGGTGTTTAAGAAAAGAAGAAAGCAAAAATCCTCCTTTCTGGCTCCTTTAAGCTGTGAAGTATAAATTACACATCAAAGCAGTGTTGCATAATACCTTAACTTTACAAAGAAATGAATGCACCCTTTTACAAATTAATGTCTGTTCTACACGTGACGGTGTGCCATGCATACAATGCACCATCCCAACAACTACGGAAGGCAGGCTTATGTGTTTGATTTTGATTTTGTTAGTCTAAGCTGAACGGTTCTTGCACTTAATGTGACCTATTTACAACAAACAAATGAACTTGTTGGAAGCACGGGTTAAGTAATAAATAAAAACACTGGACCAAAAAAGCAACACATTTTTACAAGGAAAACACAAACTTCTACTTTACGAAAAAGCAAATCTGTTTAGTACCATAAATCACTAACATCCCTGGAATTACTGGGTAAAAATACTTGTACATTTATGTAACGAGTGTACAAACATGTTTGATAGGAGGGTAGTCTTCACAGAAGGAACTTGTGCTGAAAATGAACAGTTCACGTTGTTCACCGATGGAAATCGTTAGCGTAATTGACTTATCACGGAAGCATCATATCAATGCAGTTGTAACAAATACACAAACCATCAAGGGATGCACAAGATCTCGGACTAACAGAACAATGTGCAGAGTCTCATAGGGTTGTCTAACGAGTGTGGCTATCTCGCCAATGGCACTAGGTCAGCACATCAAAACCTTACGTCTAAGGCTGCATCTGAATTAAATGGCTACGGCTAGTGATGGCAGGAGTGGCTAGGAAAGCGACTGGCGACTGGCTGCAGCTACTTCCCATTGACACGTATAATGTAGCCAGCCACAGCCAAGTGCTTTGGACATGGCTTAACACTGACTCCAGATCTGTTCAAAAACTATTGCATCGGCATTATTTCAGCTAATTTTCCAACCAGATTTAAATGTATTCTAATGAGGGTTTGCATAAAACACTGCTCAAATTCTTACTGTCCTCACATGAGCACTGTCCTCCCTAATACTTAAGAAGCATGACACCATATCTGTAACTCTGAATAAAGGCAATACATCATGAATATGTAACAGCGCAGAAACAATTTGCCTATATGAATATTTAAAGCAAATATGCATAATTTGCAAAATGTGCATTAAGGTCTGTCGCACATTTTCCATGACCTACTGTGTCTCCTTTACAAAGCGAAGAGAAAGAAATGGCGAACTGTAGTCTGGACAGGGGCAACGTCATTGAAAGAACTGACCTTTGACCCCTGCTCAGGACTGCTGGGGGCTGGCCTCGATGCTGGTGAACGAGTGCTGGGAGCCTGACTTGTTCAGGACAGCCATCTCCTCCTCCGTGTCTGAGGACTCGGTGTCCTCAAAGGAGTTGCGGGGGGAGAGACGACAGCCACGGGCAATGTAGGATTTGAGGCGGTTGATGGAGGCCAGGACCAGGCCCAGGTAGGGGGCGGAGGGCTTCATGGGGCGGGAGATGTACTCCGGGTGGTACTGGACGGCGACGAAGTACGGATGATCTGCGCAAGACAGGCACACAAACATTGGATGATTTAGGGGTCGAAATGTTAAACGAAACCTGCATACTACAAACCACAACTGCTTAGAAAGAATGTACTTAACATATAAGACTTCAAATCAGAGTTCAAATCAAATCATCATTTCAAGACTGAAGTGACGTCCAATCTACTTCCGTAGTTTCTTCAGCATTTCTGCTGTAGCTTAGGTAGCTCCACTATGTATCACATTTTCTCCACACTCGGCTCTCTCAGAACAATGTCACCATGTACCTTCTAGTTCCAGAATTTCCATACGCTCTCCGTCCGTGCTGCGACCGACAAATTTCATACCGTGGCTCTCAAAGTCTTCGATGTTTTTCGGATTTACCTTCCAGTAAAAAGATACACAAAGGCATGTGAATTTTTCTTTCAAAAATGTATTTGTATAATTTGAAGATAAAGTCCCCTATTTTACAAGTGTTTCTTACCATCTAATCGGAATTAAACTAGAACTCAGATTTTATTTATCAGCACGTTTCAATGGTTTAAAGACATTCTAAAAATCAACAGTTTTAACAATACAGTAGATTCCCGTACTAGCGCCCTCAAGGGGACCTAACAGAATTGAGTGTTATAACGGCACAGCGCTATGCTATAACCGACTGGATGGGCATGGCAACGCACTTGTACTTCTATATACCTGTAAGCAGAGTGCAAAATTAGACCAAAAAGTGCTCTTCAAAACCCACTGCTGGACCTCGTGCATGCTGCATCGCGGTGCGGCACACGCACTGCATCTACACCCACGGCGACATCCTGACTGCTACTGCGTACCCATTCAAGGACAGTCCAATCGCTGACTTTTTCCAATAACCATGTGACCACAGAAAGTGATGTGTCATCAGCAAAAGCCAACTGACAACTGACCCGACATGTCACGCTGAATACAATCGGCAAACAGACGAGATTTGCTCCACGAAGATACAAGTATAATTTAACCACTTCGCGCCGGTGGCAGTTATCAACGTTGATGATGCCGGGGCAGGATAATTATCATTTTTTTTCCGTTTTCAAAATTCTTTAAAATTCCTCACTTCATTTACTGGACACTTACACCCACACGAAGGACCATCTGGTTTCTACTCTAATCTGACAGACAACATCTATTGACGCTGGAGTATTTCAGCCAGGCCTGCTGCCTGGTAAAAAGAGCCCAGATTGTGCGGTGTTACGTAATTTTCTTTTGTTCAAGAATCTGGCACTGTGCGCTGCTGACCTCTTTTCACTAGGGGCCAGATTAGGGTTCTGCTCATCGCTGCAGTGGTGGAGTGCTTTTGTCCCCTGTGGTAATCCGCTTGCCCTAAATCCCCCAAACCGTGGTATACTGTTTCAAAACAAGGCTGGATTATCTCCACTACTGAGAGTGAAAAAATGTTCATAATGCCCAGCAGCCTGGTCTTTTGTTACAACGCCCAGTTCCCTTTGTCTGATTTCGGAGCCTTTCTTCACAGCAAAGCAAATTAAGTTTGGTTGTAATAACTGTGCCACGTGGGCGAGGCTCGCCATGGTGAGCACGAGCTGGTGATCGCGCTGCATGGACACCCCAGTGCGTGTCTGCTCTCTGTGTGCTCGCTATGCTACTGGTGTCACACAGGATGGCAAATCGCGGCAACCTTGCGATGCGGTGCCGTTGATTTTCAAAGAATCTGACTTTCCAAGGTAAAGAGCGCTGTAACCGGCATCATTTCACATGCTTTACATGGTTCTCGGGGCCAAAAATCGGGGAGCGTTATATCCGGAAAAGCATTGTAAACAGGAGCGCTATAAACGTCATAAAAATGTACAGAGTGAACGGGCGTACAGTTGGGAAAATGAAAACAGAGCGTTATATCGGTAAGAGCGTTACATCGGGGAGCGTTATAACGGGGGATCTTCTGTATTTAGCATTCAAATTGACCGCATAATGTTTTACCTCGTATCTATGGCGATGGCGCTCTTCAATCTTCTCATGCCCACCATACAAAGCTCCTAAGGGTAAAATAAAAAAGCTGATCACATCTATCAGAGACGTACTTCATGTTGAAGAATGACTTTACACCACGGCAGTAAAAAATAGAACACGCGAATGTTGTCACAGTTCTGTGCTGGGCGCAAAAAGTAGCAAATCTGAAAATCCAGAATTTTGGGTCACAAATTCTGAAGAAAAAAATAGTAAATTCCAGAAAAATCTTGAAAAGAAATAATCACAGCCCTGTGACATCATATTTGTAAAGGGAAGGGGGACGTCTACTCACTGAGAACAGAGCTCTCTGTCTTGAAGACTGTGGTTCTCTTGCCGAGCCGCATGGTCCCACCCATCTGGCCGGTGTTATGCTCCGGCATCTCAATTATCTGAAGAGGCATGTATGAAATTGATCCTTCAATGACAACCGTTTCTCTCTAGCCACGTAATGCTGTTGGCTTAACACACTTCCCGCATGCCGGAAATTTGGTAAGTGGCGTGTCTCCGAGTAAAATTTCGTATTTGAACCGATTTACAGGTCCGCACACCATCAAAGACACAATGTCATGTGACTCACTTGCTGTCATCTCGTTAAGGAGATACGCCTCCAACTGGAATCTTTCTTGTTCCTTCCGTTTTAATATCGCTTTGTAAAAAAAACTGACCCTCATCTTGACGAAGCAAGTTACCGAGGGTTCCACCTTACTGAGGGAACTACTCAAAGGCAAAAGTTACCAAAATGGCTAATGAGCATTTTGGACTTGGACGCCTCTGCTCAGCGTCGCAATTTGACAATCACTTACCACTGGATGGGTGGTGTTCGGATCAAACTCCTCCGAGTGGGCATCCTTCCACCCGAGGACATTGCGGGCAAACTCGATCACGGCAACTTGCAAGCCGAGGCACACCCCTGAGATGGGAAAAAAAAACAAACGTTTTTGTCATCACAAACATCGGTCCACGGTGCCAGGTGAGCCGTCTGGGAGGCATGGCAGCTAGTCTCGAGTCACAGTAAGCTTGGTCAGGTTGGCATGGGCACTGGAGTTCAAACAACCTGGCTGACCCAGGTTCAAAGAGCTGGCCGGTAAAGGCGATATTGATACACAGGCCAGAAGGCCGGCCGGTGCTCTGCACTTCATCAGCAGTTATTCTGTCCGAATGCACATCTGGTTTCTTGTTTTCCGTAACCAACTTCGCTGCCCTGACCACATCAGGGAACAAGCCACTTTTTCAAGGCCACTAAGATCTAGAAGCCAAAATGGCGGCCAGTGCCAAGCAGTGTCATTCTTGCCCAGAGAGAGTGTCGTTTCTTCTGATCTAACTTTGATGCCCTAATGACACCAGTGAATCCGTCTATGCTTTTTTTTAACCGGCCACTGAGTATTACCGGTCAAAATGCTGGCCAGCACCGATTTCATTCTTACCCAAGTACGGCTTCTTGTTCTCCCTGGCCCATTTGGCAGCGGCCACCTTACCCTCCGTCCCTCGTATGCCGAATCCACCAGGCACCAGGACACCACTACGGAGAACAGAGAAGAGGGTTGGAAGTCAGGCTTGCGACAAAAACAACACAAAAAAAGGTCTTCCATTACAAACGTACTTTACATATAAATGAATTACATTTTCTACTTTATCCTTCAAAGAAACCATCCGGACTCCTTCCAAATCAACCACTTTGCAAGATCCCTATGACACACCCCTCCGTCTACTTGAATGAGCCTGATGCTAACTACGCGGCTTGGATGTGCCTTCCTACACCCTGTGAAATTTCCCCAAACCTCCGGGCAGAATTAGCTTCATCCGCTGGGCGTTTTCTTACTTGCTGCTGCAGAGCTGTTGCCAGGCTTCGTGGTACTTCACCGGCTCCTGCTCCATCGTTGTCTGCTCTAGATCGTCCGCTTCGATGAACTGGAAGGGAAAAAAAAGTCGGATTAAATTAAACCTCCTTCCACCACACCAAGCGATATTTTCGACAGTGGCGGCGTCGAAGCACTCACCTTGATGACGACTTTGCACTGACAAGTCAGGCCGGCGTGCAGGAGCGACTTCATGACCGAGATGTAGGCGTCTTCCAGCTTGGTGTACTTCCCCACCAGCGCAATCGTGATCGACTTGGAGGTGTGGTCGTATCTGACAGACGCAAGTAAAAATCTCGTCAAAACACAAATTGGTAAATGAGGATAATTAGTTCCTATCGGAGACTGGGTCCTGTACAAGAGCATACCAGTGAGAACACAAACGTTCCGACATTTCAAGAGGTCCCGTTGTACTGTGTAGCCCGCTTTCTCTCCCTCAACGGTCTTGTGTTGGCAGAGACGCAGATTGCACAGGCGCTCAAAACAACCCCTACCTCTCCAACCCAGCGGACTCACCTGTGGGCCAACTCTCGCCACTTGTTCAGCAGGCGCTTGGGCCGCATTCTGAAGTTTAGCTGCAGCCGGGTCTGGAGGAACTGCACCAGGTTCTGGTCGGAGAGCAACAGGGGCACGCGGTAGACGGACGGGCAGTCGTGAACGCAGATGACCTTAACAAGGGTTGGAAAAAAAAACCCAACAAAACATAGTGTATAATGTCAAACTTCACGTGATAAATGCCTTGAACATATCCACCCTGAGCTGAAGTGCGCCCTCACCGGCGAAAGAAAGACAGACGGTACAAAGTTTTCCAACCGGGTTCTAACACGCGTTCGGCATGCACGCGAAGACCACAAATTCTAGACTAAAATCGTTGCGCGTACTCAGCGTGCTCCGCGTCAAACGCGCATAAACTAGCGCACCTATGCGGTGCGCGAGTACCAAAGGACCGCCAAATTCATTTCAAAACACGCCCTCTTTTGTTCCTGCTCGGAGCGGATTGGACAGTTCAAAGCACTCTTTTGAAGTTTCAAGTCAAGTAGGATAGTCAACTTACTGGGCTACGCCCTCGGGCAATTCAGAGAATAGAACAAAATAATAATGATGTCATAATATCTGACGCATAACACAGACATTACCTGTTGGGCTGTTACATGGCAGAACATAGAGATTTTTTCTTTGACACTATCCACGACTGGATTGTGACTTCTGGCAACAATCTAAAGAAAGGAAAAAAACAAAACAAAGAAAACGGCAATGTTAAGTATCTCCCAAGTCTGGAATGGTGTCGAGTATGTCAAAATTGAGAAGAGACTTCAAAGGATGAAGTGTTCGATTTTGGTGGTCGTTGTTTTAAACAAAGGTTACATAACCTTTGAAAACAGCATCTAAAGTTAACCCTAACCCTGTTAGGTATATGAAAATCATATCAAAATCTGTTATGAGTTAAAAGAGTTACATTAAGCTCCAGCAGTTTCAAATCAGGTTGGTGCGTAAGCTCTTTGTCGCTCTAGGGCTTTCCCCTTTCGCATGGAAACAGTTCCACCAACCTACCAGGTCCGGGGACAGTCCCAACCCGCGGAGTTCCCGGACGCTGGCCTGCGTGGGCTTAGTTTTCTGCTCGCCAGTGGACTTGGGTTGGGGCACCAGGCTGACGTGCACACAGCAGAAGTTCTCACGGCTGACACGAAACTGGAACTGGCGGAAGGCCTCGACGAAGGGCATGCCCTCGATGTCGCCGATAGTTCCGCCAAGCTTAAAAAAGCAAAACAAAAATAGTGAACAGTCACCAACAATTCCAAGGTTAAACAAAGGAGAAATAAAAACAGATTGACGCCGATAGTTCCGCCAAGCTTAAAAAAGCAAAACAAAAATAGTGAACGGTCACCAACAATTCCAAGGTTAAACAAAGGAGAAATAAAAACACATTAACATTCAATCAATGATCACTACATGTCAAGATTGACCCCCTCCTACTTTTCGACCACTGGTACCACCCCCTCCTCCCTATCCTGCATGGATTTTTACCTCAATGATGCAGACTTCGGGTTCTTCCTGGTCTCCATCCACTGGGATTTTGGCGACTCTCTCCACCCACTCTTGAATGGCGTTGGTGATGTGTGGCACAACTGGCGAAAGATATAAACACAAAACATCACACGGATATTTTTGACCGTATCCCACAAAAAGATGTTTAAGGCCTTTGGTTTTTTTTCCAAGTAGGTTTTGCTTTGGTTTGAATCAGATCTGTTGTGGTGTATGACACAAGTTGGCATCCTGAGAGCATATTACGTGGGTGGAACAACGGTGAGGGGTCTGTTGGGTGTTTACAATGTGCCAAATTCTTTCAAAGGCCTCTGACACAAGAGTGGCTGCGGAGACGGGTGACCACGCCCAGTCTCATCATATCAAAACGCAACACTCCAAGAGAAAATTGGTGAGCAATATTTATTATCTCTCTGGCATCAACTACATCACACGGCCGAGACATTCTAAACTGGAGAAGTCTCAGAATGGCCACATTTTTTCAATACCTTGGACGGTCTTGCCGAGATAGTCTCCTTTCCTCTCTTTGTTGATGACGCTCTGATATATCTTGCCCGTCGTGATGTTGTTGTCCCGATGCAGTGTGATGTCCAAGAACCGCTCGTAGTTACCAAGATCCAAGTCAACCTCGCCCCCGTCATCCAGCACGTAAACCTCCCCTGTAACCCAGGGGGGGAAAGAAATTCCAGGTTAAACAAAAATATTTGAAACTGCAAACACACACCAAGAAGAAGGTTCTTTTTGCATGTTTTAAGACAAAATTTACTTCCACGCCCTTTAAGAAACAGAGGCCAAGTGTTCTTTAACTTCTGACGTGGAAAAAAAGATCAAAAGAATTTCATCGCATGTACAAAGTATCGAGTACTACCTTCATTTTGATGGCATTCAACGCGCACTGAAAGTTGATTACAAGAACTGTGCTGTCCAGCTCTTGCGATCATCCACAAAGGATTCTCGGTGGAAAAAACTGCAATGGACTAAACGCTGCGAGAATTTAAAGAAAAAAAAAAGGAACCCTTGCAATTACCATGTTCATAGGGAGAGAATGTTCCGGCGTCGATGTTGAGGTAAGGATCAATCTTGATGGACGTGACTCGCAGACCGCAGGCCTTCAGGAGCATGCCGATACTGGAAGCGATCACCCCCTTCCCAATGCCGCTGATCACGCCCCCGGATACCAAGATGTACTTCATGATGGCAGATGACTAGGACAACATAAACACTCCGATGACCAACTGACAGTGACAAGAAATGTACTGGCGGATTGCAAATTTCAAGTCAAAATTTGTAGTTTTGTTTCACAACTGGTAAATCTGACATGCTTGGTTATTTCACTCGCTTGTCGAGCTGTGTTGTGTTTGAACCCATCACAAGTCCCTGCAAGTCCATCAGAAATCCATCACAAGTCATTCAGTCTTCAGCCAATTCACAAGCTTTTCAAATGAACTGTGACCAAAGCATTCCTTTGTCATTGTTCACCCTGTTACTTGTGACTGGTCTTGTGAAGGGACTTGTGACTTGACTTGTGATGGACTTGAACCCAACACCGTAGTCATGTATCAGCGTCTCAAAGATCTCAAGGTACAATATTTAAAAATTGTGCGTTCAAATTATTGCTGAAAAAGTCATTTGAACACGACGAAAATTTCAAGTCAAGCTCATGAATGAACAGATAAACCAAAGGACGTGATGCCTTTTTTCTCTTCACGCATACAGTAAGCCCCTTGGCCTACAAACTCCAGGAAGTTTTGGAAAGAATTCCATTTACCGAAACCACTATCTGACTGATGTAAAGCACTAACACATCCTTAAAAAGTATGATTGAGCAGTTAAAATATTGAGGTCTTCACTTAGAAAATAGCAGTCAGAAACATGTCCAGCCCAAGAGTCAACATTAGCAAGAAAAATATTGAAGCATTTACAAGTACTTTGAAAATATTGAAAATGTTTTAAACCACTTTTATAGGCTTTGTGCACTGGGTGTCAAGCAGCATCCGTAAATGGAATTCTTTCTGAAAACTTTTAGGCTTAGGTCTCTTAAACGTATTTTTTACTACAATCAATGATAGTGTTGACCACCATGACCACAGTCAGTGTCAAATTGATAGGAGCAATTTGCAGATCTGCACAATCATGTCGTCATTCATCATGTTCATTTAACCCTCCTTCTGTTTTAACCATCCAAAACAGTCAAAAATGCCTTCCATGTTCACTTGATTTCCCGCAGTACACAGACACATATGGGAAATTTGACTGATTTTGACTGATAGGACAACTGTGTCAAGAATGCATCTTAGCATAGGAGGGTTAATCAGCTGCTCAATTTATCCTGCATGAAATCTCACCACTGGCACTCACAACATGGGGATTGTATATTGGAGAATGACCAGATGACGCACGTGCATTTCAGCCACTTGGCATGCTTGTCACGCTCCGAAAACATGATTTACCAACCTGAACCAGCAAAAGCGGCGTCCCATCAAGATTTATTCACAACTCATAACTAAACATAAACGTGATAAAACGTTTGTTTGAAATGCCAGATATAAATCATTGCAAACATACCGAAATTTGCCAGCAAAATGTGGACACTCACCGTGTGTTTGACAAAGCTCAGCATGCTTTCCCGCAATTCTCAATTCTCCTAACGTGCAAAAATGGCGCCACCAAGCAATAAGAAAAAAATGATTATTTTGGATAGATTTCCAATGCCTCAACTTCGTGTTCAAGTTGATTGATCCCACCACACTCGTATCCTGAAAGTGCGCTACAAAAGAAATAAAAATATAACCCATGAGAACAAGGAAAAAGTGGGTAATCATCACATCAAGAGAGGGCGCTATACTGATTTCGCTGCAGCAGAACAAAACACTGACATCGACGTCGACACTGGGCAAGGCCTAGGCGATGGAATGCCATTAATAAATATGGGTATTTTATCTTGAGTTTTGTTTTCTTGATGGAAGTAGATATCATAAATATGTTTACACAGCCAATATGATGCATCATTCTACTTCAAAGTTCGAGATGGTGATTGCAAAAAGCCGCGATCGCAGGCCATGCAGGCGTTGTTGCTGCGCAGCTCCTGTCTACATCACCTGTGATATGATCGATGCGCTTGACAGTTTCCGCAAGCGACACTTCCGACATGTTCCTGACCATGTGGTCGGGCGATTCGCCAGCCTGTCTGTGTTTGCTTATTTGCATAAACGGGATGTCAAAATCAGTTCAAATAAAGCAGGCAAAATAAGGCATTCACTTATCACGACTTGGGACCTCATGATTGTCAATGTCAGTGATTGTTTTGTTGGAGTTTGCTACCTTAGACTATTGCTAGACCATGGCCTACACCTATGATTATGAACTATAATTTAAGGGGAAGTCCCAGAAACGAATTTGGCCACTTAATGGTTAGACTGCCTGTATAGTAGTCAGATAATAGCAATGTGCGTGACGATATAGCCGCCAAGTGCCTAATTTTGCCACCTATTTTTGAATGCGATTGGTTTTTACAGTAAGTGGCGAAATAAGGGACCAGGTCACGGTCACGCACATTAGATTGACAGGTTTGTGTGTAGGTACTCAAATTCTAAAGACACTATGGGATCTGGAAATTATCATAATTTCTTTACATTTTTATTTGTTATTTATTTACATCAGCTAACAGGCCACATCGAGTTCATCAGTTTGTTGCCGAGTGAGAATCCCCATTAATCATCATGTCATCTAGTAACAAGGTGACAGGTGAAAGGTCACCAGGTTCCTCCCCGGCATCCCCGACCACCTGTCACCTGCATCAACCACAGGAAGACCAGCTTACCAATGTGAAATCCCCACCCCCCGCTGTGCCCAGTGAGCCCCTGAGGGGTGGGGCTGGCGCAGATGCAGATGGTGGTCCGTCCACCTCCACGTCAATGTCGGACAGACTCTTGCAGCGCCTGGAGCTCCTGGCCGAGAATGTGCCCCCGGCCCGTGACGCGCCCCTATCCCCGGCCCGGGCCAGCCTGAGCGTAGAAAAATCCCTGCATATGTACTACTCCATGAAGCGGACCGAGACCTTCAGCACCTTGTACGACTTCGACTGCAGCTCCTCCACCACCTCCAGCTCCTCGGAAAAGCTTCTCCAACGCCTCGAGGAACTCTCGGAGAACATCCCCCCGGGATTCTTAGCCTCACCGGACCGCTCTCCGCTGATTGGCAAGTCCCTGCCTTTACTGAAGAGGACCGACGACTCCTGCGCGACCTACGACTTTGACGGTAGCTCGTCTGCATCCTCAACTACCTCGGAGAACGTCTCCAAACGTCTTGAGCAGCTCAGCGAGTACGTGAGGCCAAGACTCTCCCCGGGACGCTCGGTTTGTCCCGGAATGGCAGCTGGTGGTTCCAGGGTGCGAAAGCGTAGCGCGCCTACACCCCTGAAACCGTTGAATCGGCTGGCCCCACCGAAATTAAAGCGCCGTGGTGTGGGTGGCTCTCGGTGGGAGACCTCCTCTGGAGACAAGATTAATCAGGTGTCGACCTCTTCTGGAGTGGTTTACGTCTATAGTGAGCCACTTATCAAATTGTGCGATACATTGCTGAAAGTTCCAAAGAGAGTGAGTCATTGATCTAACAGATTAGTTCAAAAAAATCCAGTTGTCTTGATGAACCATAGAACCACAACCATGATTTTAAACACACAAATCTCCAACAGTTACATGCAACTTCTTGTTATAAATTAAAGAAATGAAATTGGAAAAAAAAAATGAAAAGCTAAGCATGAAGGACTTACTGGTGGCAAATTTTTCCCGCAACCTGGCATCAGCCCATTTCCATCATCATCTTAGCCCAAACAGGATCGACATAAAATAGCTAATACAAAAGTGTAAGAATTTGTTATTCCCTGTGCTTTGTTACAAGTTCCTTTTGCCGTGAACCTCTCAAAAGCCCCCAAGATATAAAACCTTATATTTGAACTTGAACTCTGTGGGGTCGGCTGATCATTTCGAATGCAGAAAGCCACAATGGCAAAAGATGGTTCCCAACAATACAGTAGAAAATCGATAATCATCTCGCATACCCTTCTGTCTTTTTGAAATTGAAAAAAATTGTCTCTTTCCCAAAATAGGCAGGAATGGTCCACAGTCTACTGGAAGCGTACGGCCTCCTGCAGAACATGACGGTCCTGCCTCCCCATCTCACCACCAAGGAAGACCTGACCGTGTTCCACTCCCAGGACTTTGTGGACTGCCTAGAGCGGCTGAACCAGGAGGACGACAGTGAGAAAAACGAGGAACTCAAGCTGCAGTTCGGGCTGGGTGAGACCCGAAAAATAGTAGAGTGGAAATTAAAAGGGGGGGGGGAGCGTGGCCCGGCGGTTAAGGTTTGCGACTTGTGATCAGAGGGCTGGGGTTTGAATCCAGCGGCTGACGGCATGGTGTGTCTTCAGCCAAGCCAATGTACCCACTTTGCTTGGCCCTCTGCACCCAGGATTATAAATAGGTACCGGCATTAGCTGGGGAGCAGCCTGTGATGGACCGGCATCCCATCCAGGGAAGGAAATAGAAATATTCTCAGTCAATTTGTGCCAAGAAGATCTGGAGGTAAACGCCGGCCGATGAGCCATGTTGGCGTGGGACAGACTTTACTGTGTCTTAAATGCTTACACTGCAGTGCGTGTAGGTCTGGCGCTGGTTTTAGAATTGGTACAGTAAGGCTAGAGGCTGGTTAGGTTGGCTCTCTTAAACTCTTTCTGTGCTGCTTTCGTCCAGGGTACGACTGTCCAACCATCCCTCATGTCTTTGACTTCGTCTGCTTGGCGGCTGGTGCCACATTGAGGGCAGCGCAGGCATTGGTGCACGGGGAAAGCAGAGTCGCTATCAATTGGTGCGGAGGCTGGCATCATGCCAAGAGGTAACAAATGCCCGGTTGTAGGATTTTTTCATTTGTCATAATTCTACAAATGTGAGTTTAGCATTTCGGGGAAAGAACATGGGCACTAAATGTTTATTGTATGAAGTGGCAGAACAGAGAAAAGTTGTCACAACAAGACAAGTTATCATTCAGTGTTCCTTTTGAATTGGTGAAAGCCGTTTCATTCAAAGATGAATTATATCTACTCGTGTCCCGCACCCCAGGAGTGGGTGATGAGTCGGCAAAATACCAAATTAATAAACTCAGTTAAATTCAGTGACTTGTGAATGTGATATGTCTTTCTGACGTTTCAGAGATGAAGCCTCCGGTTTCTGCTACGTCAATGATGTCGTTCTCGGCATCCTGAAACTCAGGGAGAAGTTTGACCGTGTTCTGTATTTGGACCTGGATTTACACCACGGGGATGGTAAGTAACGCTGCGTAGTTCAGTTCAGATCCGGAGAGCTACAGCAAGCTCACTGAATCGCCCGAATACCAAAGACTGTCCAATCCGAGTGCTTTACATTTGAGCCAGTACCAGTGCCAAGGGATGCTGGTTGTTGCATGAATCCCAGAACTGACTTCTTGACATTGGATGCTGACTTTGCATTTCATTGACTCACAGGGGTCGAGGATGCCTTTTGCTACACTCCTAAGGTCCTGACCTGCTCCTTCCACAAGTACTGCCCGGGTTTCTTTCCAGGTGAGGCTCTTGTCACCGGCTCAAACTGAACAGCTGAAGATGAACTTTAAGTCTGGGAAAGGGCAAACCTCCAACTGTTGCCATAAAGTCGTGCATGAGCTGATGTTATGTGTGAATATTTTTATTGCGCCTGTACACTTTTCCATGGAAAAAATCTCCCTGCAGGTTGTAGAAATTTGCGAGTCGTAACCATCTAGGCGAATGGCGAAGTGTTGATGACAGGTCGTGGAGATGAAGAAATAGCCGAGTGTGAAGCAAAGAGGAAAAACAGAAACGCAATGAGACCAATTTTGCATTAGATCTTCTCATCTCGAGGGCTTTGAATCCCACCAGTGAAGAGTCTTGTACTGATGGGCACGGCACTGAGTGAAACAGGTGCCATGGGCAGTTGAGGTGAATTCAGGAATAAATCCAGTCTGGCTGATAGAGGACGCTCCATGAAGTACTTCCAGACTTTTGTAAGATCACTGGATAGGGGTTCCTATTGTTCGAGTTGTCTGTTTTGTTACCAGGCACCGGGTCGTTGGACGATGTTGGCATCGGCAAAGGCAAGTTCTACTCAGTGAATGTCCCACTCAAGGATGGAATCCAAGACAACCAGTACTTCAGCATCTTCTGCAGGTAGGAGTCTTGGACCTCCAGGTGTAGGTCTTGGTCTCTGTCCTAGACCTTTAGGTCTCAGATGAGGTCTCAGACCTCAAGATGTCAGCCTCAGTCTTGGTCTCTACCTTGGTCCTCTCAGAAATGGTTTTGGATTCATTACTGGTGTAGGTCTTGGTCTCTGCCCAGGATCTTCAGGTCTCACATGAGGTCTCAGACCTCAAGATGTCAGCCTCAGTCTTGGTCTCTACCTTGGTCCTCTCAAAAATGGTTTGGACTTCATTATTGGTGGAGGCCTTGGTCTCTGCCCAGGACCTTCAGGTCTCACATGAGGTCTCGGACCTCTAGATGTCCACCTTGGTCTGGGTCTGTGCCTTGGACCACTCGGACTTGGTTTCAGTCTCCGACCACAAGGTCTGAGTTTTGATCTTGGACGTAAAGGTCTAGTGTTGGTCCTTTCAGGTCTCAATGTCAGCCTTAGACCTCTAGGTCTTGGTCCTCAGGGTGTGGGTCTTGAACCTTCAGGTCTTGGTGCTTCCCCTGTCTTCCCTCTCCTCGGGCCTCCAGGTTCAAGTTGGCAGCTAATCTTCAGTTCTTGAATCAAATGCTGGTGGGCATGAGGGTAATATTTTTTCAAACAGCAGTGCCCTATAACAGAAAATCATTTGTCTGATCATTTCTTCCTTAATCTTCTCTCACCAGGGTGGTGGATCAGATCAAGCAGTGCTACCGCCCCAGCGCCGTGGTGGTCCAGTGTGGGGCCGACACACTTGCTGACGACCCCATGCAGTCCTTCAACCTGACACCTGCCGGGCTGGCCCGCTGCCTGCACCACGTCACCACAGCCTGGCAGCTGCCTGCACTGCTGCTGGGCGGCGGCGGGTACAGGCTGGCCAACACGGCCAGGTGCTGGGCCAATCTGACGTCAACAGTGCTGGGGTGTCGCCTGCCTGCGGAGATACCCGAACATGAGGTGAGCGGAGGGACAGGGAAATAAGTTTCATTTACTGAGAAAAAAGTGATAAGAATTCAGCTATTCTGTACATGGAGTCCAAACAGGATGCAGGGAGAATGCATTGTGTGGCATTGGTTGGTGCACCAGACTAATTTTCATTTGAATGTGCACAAACCAGGGAGGTACTTGCCAGGGTGCCAGGTACATGGCTGAAGCATCTGTTCTCTGTGACTGTCAAGTGTCCACTTGTGCAGAGTAAAACTAGAACTCGTACAGTCCACTTAAGAAATTGGGATTGCCGAAGACATGTCGTTACATTAGCAAGGGTTTCCCTTTGATCTGTCTCACAGCATTTTCTGGAGTACGGACCAGACTATCAGCTGGATATATCCCCAACGCACAGGCCCAACCTCAACTCCGACGAGTACATTGAAAAGATCATAGCCTCCATAACAGGTGAGACATTCGTTTAAGCACCTCAATAAAAAGCAAAAGCTCTCATTTCAGGTCTTTGTTCTAAAGAGACCTCACTCCTGTTTATCTGAGAAAACACGGATATTTCTTTCCAATACACTGCAGTGAATTTAAATGAAAGTCGCCAGCACAAATGCCGGTTAATGCCAACTGTTTCCCCCACAGATAATCTGGAGAAGATTTCTGATGGGTAACACGGAACTCGCCTCCGGAGGGGAGAACCAACTCTTTGATAGCCCTCAATTCTTTCCAAGTCCTATTGCATTACATCGGTTGGTATGAAAATGTTGGCACCAAGAGACCTTTTTAAGGTCATTTATTTCAAGCTTTTTTATGAATTTCGCATTTTATGTGATTTGAGGCTTCTGAATAGGGGGCAGGGTAGAGAAATTGACAAAGCCATCCCTATAACTTTGATGAACGGAATCTTGTACGCATTCAGCCCTCCCTCTAGCATGCCTGGTGTCGAGTGTCCTTGCAGCACAGGTACACGACAAGGCCCAGCTCGATACAACTAGCCAACAGCTGTTTCATTATATATTCATAGCAGATATACCCATGGCCTTATCAAGTTTGTTCGGTTGCTTCCAAAGTTGCTAGGGAAAAAAAAAACCCACAGCCGTCGGCATCCCAGACCAAAAGATGCCGAGTATGCATGTGTCACATGTTCAACAATAGAGGGGGAATCGAGTAAATGAGTAGCAGTGAGCGAGACAAGTGCACTCAGTGTTCATTTTCTGAGTTTCCAATGTTGACAGTATGTACAAGGAATATATAGGGCAGACTATACAGTGCACGAGGCAGTGTTGTTATTGAAACCATGCACAAGGCCATGCACAAGACCATGCACAAGGCCATGCAAAAGGCCATGCACAAGACCATGCATTGAGATCAGTAACAGAGTGAATGACAAAGGAATGCTTTTGTTGCATTTTACTTGAATAGCTTGAGACTTGAATTCATACTGGGGGTCTTGTGATAGTCTTGTGTTGGTCTAGTGGTAGTCTTGTGTCTGGTTTTGTGTTGGTCTTGTGATGGTCTTGGTGATGGTCTGAAGAGGTCTGAGCTACAACACTGGTACAATGTATGAGGTATTCATACAAGCGTAGACCCCAGACAGCAATATCCTTAGAAGTCTGAAGATCACACATTTCATGTACAATGACCAATATTGGTCCTAGTTTCAATATATTTGGAGGCAATTTAACCATCTACGGCACATTTCTAAAAATACAGTATTCACAGGCATGCTATCCACTTACTGTTCTTAAACCAAATTATAATTTAAACCTATTCAGGTTTTTAGAATAATGTAGTTTTATTTTAAGCTTTGTAATTGCATAAATCTACGTTAACCCTTGTAATTTTGAGTAATTTGTTCCAAGTTTAATTAATTCTGTGTTTGCAGAAGCCAAGTGTCTAGCTTGAATACTTTGAAAACTTGGTATCAGCTTTCGGTTGGATCTTGTCATTGGTGGATGTGGCTGTTTCTTGGGGGACGGGGGTCCAATGGTAGTTGAAGCCGTCAAATAGTCAGGTTGTACTGGTATGACCAACTTCAATCCAACCATATACATACCTGCTACTGGGGACAAGACCAAGATGGCAGATTCCATGCATGAATTCCATGAAACTCATCAGATGACCAGAAATTTAGTTCAAAAATACCTTTTCGCATCATGCACGGGCATTTCAAATCCATTTATGCAATTTATCTTTCCGGCACTTTTTAAGAATATTAAAAGTCATCGCAATGTCAAACACATCCAGCAAAGAAAAAGACGAGATGAAAAGTAACGCAAGTTTTTTACAAGACATTTTATTCCAAATACTTTCGGATACTTTGTTCACGTTCTGTTGTAACTTTGAAATAAAAACGCACAAGATAACACTGTTCCCAAAATACGACAGCTCGATAGTATGCTTTTATTACAAGTATTTAGTGACGATCAGAGAGCAGCATCACAAGTCACTTCTTCCTGTGTTTTTCGACTAGATTACGACTACCAACATCGTGTCAAACAAAATGGAAAACGTGAAATGCGAAATTTGTTTTTGCTCCTGTGAACAGTGCCTGCCTGGATTTAAGGCTTGAAAGCCATGGTGAAAAACCCTGTGGTATTTCCTAAGCCAAGTATCGGCACAGAAGTTTCCCCCTACCCCCAGCAAAAAAAAAAAGACACATGATTAGAGTGAACACATTTCCCTACACAGATGGTGGGAAAAAAGGGAAAACAAAGTCTAAACATTACACAGATGACCCCAATCGAGATCAAGAACGGTTAAAAAAGACCCAAAAAACGACAGTGCCCACAGCATGCGCTCTCCACTTCAACCAGGTGGTGCTGACAGGGTCGTCCACGCACCCAACCACCTGACCGGGGACGCCCCCCACCCGCGTGCCAGTGCGGGTTCTTGGGAGACGTCACTGCTTCTCCAGTATCTCCTTCATGTCTCGCAGGCTCAGCCCCTGGGAGATGTTCAGGGCATGGTCCATGGCGTGGATGGTGACCAGCAGCTTGGTGACCGCCTTCAAGCCAGACCTTCAGATGAAACAGGGAAAGGGGAAGCCAGATGTGGAATGATTTTGAAAAAAAAAATAAAACCTTGTCGACAAGACTGCCTGCTCAGAAGGAACAAAACAGTGACCAACAAACCAGGCTGAAGAATTCGACGCCATTATTTGGAAAATGATTACCGCTATATATGGACATTGCAAATTTGGCAACTTTCACAGTCTGTATTACAGCCAAATCTCTCTGCAGACAAGAGTTTTTTAACAGGCGATGGCTTTGAAGTATGAAATTCGTCAGTGGCGGGAGAAGAAATGTGACACATGAAAATGACCTATGTCATCCTGGGTTTGGAACGGTGGGTCAAATACATGGACAAGCACCAGCATTCGTTGACTGTGGCCCCCTCTCTGCCATGATGGAATTGGGCCACCGAGTCGACCAAGGCCATCTTGACGGGAGGTTAAGGTGTACACACTTAATAAGCAGGAGGTTCGAATCCAAAACCAAAATGCAATCACGTATGCTGAAAGAGGTACCCATATACTTCCGGTTTGGGGAAAACACCCAGTGACAAAGTGCCTTAGCTATGGCAACCGTTCGCGCTGCAACCGGCCAACCTAGAAATCTGCACATTCATTTACGAGATCTAATCTACCTGGCGATTCTCCTTTCGATGTCGTTCCCCACTGTACCCTGCCTCTTCAGCGACTCCGCGGCGTGTTCCAGGTACCGGCAGAACGGCTCCAGCTGTCTCAGCGTCTCGTCACCCTGTAAGTCCTTGAACCACTGGGGTGGAAAGGTGGCCACAATCTAGCAGAGGGGGGAAGAAGCCACCGAGGTGGGAGTGGAATTTGCTCAGCTGAGAAATACTTGAGCTGGAAAATACTGGTTCCCAGCCTAAATGCCATTAGATGCATATTGCCAGTAGCTGGCGTTCTGCTTGGTCTTGCTTTTAAAAAGCATGAATCTATAAAGTACAATTTGTGCCTTGGCCGATATTAGGTCCAAGGAGCCACTTCACAGACTTGTCTGGCAGTCAAACAAAAATTCAAAGTCATAATATGAAAAAAGCCCAAACTGGTGACAATAAACTGTGACATTTTACCTGCAATCTCTTTCTTCTACTGGAAAAAATTTCTGAACACCGAGAACTTTAATGCACAGCAACTTCAAGAAATTGATCCCAATGTGCAACTGCTCTGAGAACTCTTTGCTCTAAGTTCTTTTTCATTTTTTTCATCGATTCTGTAGTGTGTCTTCACCTAGCACCGTTTTTTTAATGAAAGTGCCCCTTCTGAGGGGTGTGGCACAGCTCAAATGGCTCTGCGGTCCAAAAAAGGCCGATCTCTTACTCGTTCACACTTGAGGATGCTGTCATCGTTCACGTCAGAGTTCTGCAACGACAACAGCATGTAGCGATTCAGCAGTCCATCGACGGCCAACTCCAGCAGGTGATCCTCAGATATCAGACCGTGCCACAGCAACAAGTTGCCAAGCAACTACAGAACAAAAGCAGAACATCATGAAACTAAAAACACAAGCCAACAGTCAAGCCAGTCTCTAACTGCAACTGCATTTTAGAAATAAAATTGCACGATCTGGGACATCATTACAAGCAGAGAGATAGAAATCACTGAAGCCAACTTTCTCCAGAAGGGACTTGGCATTTAAAAAAAAACTACAATGCCCTTATAAATGCTTTTTCAACGAGTGATAGAATGGCTATCTTCATACAGTGACAGCATAAACAAGACAGAATTCAAAAGCCAATGAGACATTAACCAGCAAAAGTTGCATCTCTTCATATAAATTACAAGTGATCATACCTTGACACACGACCAGAACTGTCTCTGCATAAAGCTGTTGGCAGCAGCCGACTTCTCAAGCATGCTAAAGGAAGTCAGGAAACAGCATTTTTACTGCTAACTGGCCGAGGCGGCATATGTCGAGAACACAGCAAATCCAAATATGAAACTTTGTGTTTCCGTTCATCTTCCCTGATAACAGATTTAAACTTTAACCCTAGCCCCCCTAGAAAGCATACTGAACCTCAC